CTGCCTAGACCTGACCAAAGGGTTTTGGTGAGTGCAAATTGACCCCAAGGATCAGGAGAAAACTGCATTTTGTAGCCCTTTTGGCCTATTTGAGTGTCGTGTCCTAAGTTTTGGGTTAAGGAACTCACCAGCCACGTTACAAAGGCTTATGGACAAAACTTTGCAAAGACTTGGCGACTTTACTGTAGCTTATATAGCTTATATATTTTCAGTAACACCTGGGAGGATCATCTTTGTCACTTAGAAATAGTGCTGCAAAGATTAAAGGCCGCAGGGCTAATGGTGAAAGCAAGCAAATGCCAGCTGGGTAGCCCTGAAATGAAGTACTTGGGTCATGTGGTAGGGGGAGGTAGAATAAAACCCCTGGAAGATAAGGTAGAGGCCATAAGTAGTTGGCCTAGACCCACCACCAAGAAGAAAGTTAGATCTTTTCTTGGGTTGGTAGGCTACTATAGGAGATTTATCCCTAGGTTCAGCAAGATAGCAGCGCCATTGACTGACTTGACTTGCAAGAAGAGTGCTGACAACATCCAATGGTCCAGTAGCTGCAAGGAGGCGTTTGGGAAGCTGAAGGAGGCGTTGATCACCAACCCAGTGTTGCAAGCTCCGGATTTCGAGAGTGAGTTTACCATCTTCACAGATGCGTCCAACTCCGGGTTAGGAGCCATGCTGTGCCAGAGTGACGATGGCGGAGATCTTCATCCGGTTGCTTATCTGAGCAAGAAGCTACAAAAAGGGGAGAGACACATGTCCACCATCAAGAAGGAGTGTCTTGCCATTTTGTTTGCAGTCCAGAAACTGAAACCATATATTTGGGGGAGCCATTTCATCCTATGTACTGATCACTCCCCACTGTTGTGGCTAAGGACTATGAAGGCCAAAAACAGTAAACTGATGAGGTGGGCTTTGATCTTGCAGGACTTCCTTCTGGTTAGCCATCCTGCAAATTCAGCATCCCGGGAGGGAACCCCAAAGGGTGTTTGCAAGAAAGGGAGGCTGCTCCTCTTCCTTCCTTTCTTCTACAAAACTTCCTTGTCTCCTTTCTTCATGTCATGGACGATTTGATATCCCTGTTTTGTCATAGTCAAAAGTAGAAGACACTCAAGAAAAACCCTAAGAGCACAACAGAACTTTATAACACCTCTTAGTTGTTTGAGCTGTCTGGATAGCTCAGTGGTTTAGGTATCTGACTGCAGAATAAAGGCTGGGTGTTCAATTCCCCTGCTGGGCCTTCCTCCAAGTAAAGCCACCTCGTGTGACCTTGGGCAAGCTGCACAGTCCCAGGATGCCTCCAGAAGAAGGGAAAGAAAAGCCTGAATAGGGTCCCCGTAAAAATAAGGATTTATTTCATGACACATGGTTATTAATTAGTAGTTGGAGTCTGTCATGGTCTATAGCACCTGAACATTTATCCCTGATAGGGTTGAATACCAATGGGAACCAGACAATCATGGCAAGCATATCAAAATTCTAATGTGTTATCAAGGTATAAGTTATTTACTTGCTCCTGCCTGGTTCATGAGAAATGTAGCTTCCAAACAAGTCTCACTTCAGAGGATAAGAATAAACCATGATTTCTACTCATGGTGAAGTAAACAGAGAAAAATCAGTCATGGCAGCATTAGTCTATATCTGCAAGTTTTAATTAGTTCTATGCACAAAAAATCCAGAAACTACTGAAAACATGAAGACCTAAAAGGTCAAAGACATATGATCCAACATATTATTTTTACAGCCTTGAACAAAAGCAGTAGATATGACGTAGGCATCCTTCAGTCTCAAGAGACTATGGGAACGTAGTAGATAAAGCAGGTAAAGCACTAGATACCGATACATAAAAATGCATAAAGACTGAACTTAAGTTATAGGTCAATACTTATAAGTCAGACAAATGTAGATATATCAGTTATACATTTTTACCTAGGTTACAAGATCTTCAATCTGATCTCCTTCCAAAAATACAAACGCTTATAGCAGTAAAAAGCACATCTGGTGTGAGCACGAAAGAACAAAATTGAAATATTGGTCGCTTGAGGAAAACAAATTAGAGCAGGCTGCTTCATGTTCTGAAGTCCAGGCCCTCCTTCTTGGAAAACAGATTCTCTGCCTCTAAGAAAAGGGCTCTCAGGGATTTGCAGTTTTGATGCCCAGACAAGGTAGGCTGGAAAATGTAGACAGGCTCAGTCCCAAGTTCTGAACTGGTCAACTGCCAGATGCCATCTGGTAGGCCAGAGGCCTCCTTCTCCTTACCGAGGGAGAACGCAGAGCTGATAAGGCCGAGGGAAGGTGAGAGCAGCACTCAGAAGAGGGGTGATGTCGATGTCCTTAGGATCCTGGAGGGGCTTCAGTTTGAAGTGCTGCAGGATGGTGACCAAAAAAAGGAACAGTTCCATGCGGGCGAGGCCCTCCCCTGCGCAGATCCGTTTACCTGCAAGGGAAACCAAGGCGGGAAGGTAAGCACGAGGAGGGTCTTCCTCAACAGCTGGGGGAGGGGGAAACCTCACAACAAGGTCAAGGGGCATGTGGCCCTCCAGGAACACCTCCTCGGAACATTATCTGCAGCCTCATTTCTGGTCATTGTGGTGGGGAAGGACAAGGCAGGGTAGGAGAGGTAAAACCCAGACTGTGGGCTTGCTTTCCTTCATTCTCGCCCACAAGGAGCTAAATTTCAGGCTGATTTGACTTGGCAAACCCCTCAGGCCTGATACATGCCTGACCTCTTGGCAAGAGGGAGGAAAACAGCCACTGTTTCTTGTTAATTTGCACGATCTCATGCCCGTTTCCCTTTCAAAAGCATGCACATTCCTAGTAAGCCTAGCAGAAAGGGCTGATAGTTGAAAAAGATGCAAGCACCCAATCTACTGCTTTTAGACCTTAAAGGGCTCTAAGAAGAAGGTGCTACTGTCCTTCTCTTTGGAATGAGAGGCCTCACCTCCAAGCAAGAGGGGGAGAATGGAGCACTTCCCTCAAGCTCTTCACCCTTTGGAAACACACACACAAAGAGAGAGGGAGCGAGGGACCAGAAGGAATGGTTTAAACAAGAAGGTTTAAACACTCTCTCTGATGTTCAACAGCCTTAAAAGTCAACGTGAGGAAGCAGCCACTCACCCCAGTAAGTTTGCCCTCACTGGTAAGGATAGGTCAGGAAGGGTTTGACATTGACCCCTATCAGTGACCTCCTCCCTGCCCCAGTGGTGGGAGACAAGGAAGCCCCCAAAGAGCCGGTCAGGAGTGTCGTTGGCTGGGAGACTGGCCATTGAGGGAAGAGCCCTTTTACCTGCCGAGAAGGGCATGAAGTAGTCACTCTTCCTGAAGGTCCCGTCTTTGTTCAAGAAATGCTGTGGGTCAAATTCTGTGGGGTTTGGAAACTCTTTGCTGTCGTACAGTGCAGAGGTCAGGACGGGGAAGATGATGGTGCCCTGAGGAGAGGGAAAAGAAATGGGTTATGCCGTTTGCTGTCTGTGTTTGAGCTTAGATGCTTCTGATGTCGCTTGTGCTTCTCCTCCCTTCACCCGACCAGGAGCCAGGTTTCTAAGCCCCCTTCTTAACCCCTTTCCCTTTCCTTCTCGTTCCTCTTGGCTTTTCTGTCCATATCCACTGTTTTAAACAAAGGTGGACCTCTTAAAATCAATGAAATTGAGCTTGGTCGGGACTTATCCATTTCCCCTCTGGAGGAGATAATCTAACCTCCCCGGGGCCAACGGTGGCATTCAAGACTTTATGTTTGCCATTCATTTGGATGAGTACACAACAATTCTTGGACCTATCTAAAAACGTTTTGGCTCTTCCATCACCCAATTTTAAAGGTAGCCTGGACAAAATATCTCTCTGACTTTTCTCAAATAATCTTCTTGTCATTGTTATGTGCTGTCAAGTCAGAAGTGATTTCTAACAACCCTAAGGGTGCTTTCAAGATAAGGGCTTACCTGATTAACCTCTGAATATACATAGGAATTTATTATTATTTTTTTGGCTGCAATCTAAAGTCATGTGACAGTCTCATGATATATGAATCACTCTCTGCCTTGGCTTCAGAGAACGGTTAAGGAATTACGTACTCTTCGGAAAACTTTTAATATGTTTTAAAGCTGAGTTGTACAGTATCACATTTGAGGGGATCAGACTGGGTTTTAAAACCATTTCACTCTCCAGTCTGTTGGGTGAGGATCCCACATTAATATCTTCTGGATCCTATCATGCTTGGATCAGTGTTTTTGCACCACTGTCAAGTCAGGTGTCCCATCATTTCTGTGGTGTAACTCCAGTTGCTGCTGCTGCCTCTCCCACCATCACTACCAGGTACCCAGAGGCACAATTTGCTGCGACAGAAGGACTTCCCTGTGCATACATGATTGAAAGAAAGCGGGGTTCTCCATGTGATGAGATGGGTTTTTGAGTTAAAGTCTTGTAAGGAATATGGGTTTTGTAACTGAGAAATGAGCAAGAGAGATTCCATCTTGTTTCTTTGTATAAAGTATCTATGCTATGCTAACAGGTTGTTTTCTAGGTGAGCGGAGAGAATGTTATTCTGATAGCCTGAGAAAAGGACTCGGTGTGATTAGATGGGAATTGTTGTGACTTTTTGCGAAACCACAGTAAACCCAAATAACATCTGGTGTGTATGGGAAAGAAGTCATGTGGTGCAACAGGACTGTTTGCCTAGTAACAAACTCTGATTGGATGACATCGTGGGAAGGTGCGATAAGCCCTTACCAGTTACTCTTGAAAAAGGAACTTTTTCCTTATGGACATTGTCATTCAAGACCGACTCTTCATTCATTAGTGACACACGGGACTAACCTTTACTTGGACTGATCTTTGTACTATATTGGATTACCCTTGGATTTATGGCCTTTTCCTAAGGACTATGGATTATTTCTCTATGAACTCTTATTTTTGGAATACTTCATATGGACTATGCTCTTGTAATTTTGTAAGGACAATGGGACTTTTACTGAATTTTTCTTTTTAGTACAGGATTTTTATTCTACAGAATCATTGAGGACTATAGCCTTTTCATAACCTATTTGGATTATTTTGTTTTTATTAATGAATTACTGAACTGGAACTGTTGTTATTCTTTTTTATGGCTTTTTGTATTTTTGTAAGGTTTTTGGAACACTTTTCTATTTTTCATGTTTTCTTTGCCTCACTACAGAGTTGTAAATAACTAACACAATGCTTATTTACTTACTTTGGCTTAGTTTGGTTTTGATACCTAGTAACATGCTTATTCTTTAATAAATTAAAGATTATAAAAATCAATTGGTTTCCTGAACAGTACACTTGTCTTAGGGTCATCTGAGAGTGCTGCCTCGGCCTAGCATACTTAAGGAGTCCTGTCAGTGGTGCAAGTTAAGTCTAAGGACTACAAAGCCCACTCGATCTTTTCACAGTAATATCTGAGAGTACAAGGGTGTTCTTATGTGGGCAGACCTGTAAGATGGAGTGTTTTAGCATGACTAGCTGAGCTTGGACTCACTCAGCCCGTTTTAGCGTGTGCAAACTCCTGATTGCTCTCTGTCCAGGCTTACGCGGACGTTTTCGAACGCCGTGTTTGCTCGCACTCCACACGTGTTAAAACATATGACCCTCTGGTGGAACAGTATTTTACATCGCTTTCCAACCAGAAAACACACTTGCCTGGCAAAATACCATGTTTCTGCTTACGTCATGGAGATAACTTAAAAATAAATTGTTAAAAAAAACAGGAAAAAAAGAATGTGATAGAGGAGCATTTCTTTTTCTCAGTGGGACCATCTTCAGAGTGAAATGTTTAAGGAGTGGCTTTACCAGTTCCATTCCCCCCCCATGTGTTTTTTCACAGCCGAGCAGGGATTCAAACCCTGTCCTCTGGAGTCCTCGCCTGTCACTCTGTCCACTGCGTCACAGGGGAGATCCTCTGAAATCTAGCAGGCTGGCTTGCCTTTCAGAGGGTTTCCAGGCGTCCAAATTTTATGCATATATGCTTGAAAACCGAAACCCAAGTGTGCCCCTGCCTCTTTATGATTCCCAATCCAAGCCAGTGGAAGGTAGGAAAAATGTTCGGGTTTCCATTTCCATTCCAAATTTCCTCTTGGATTTGAAGGAGGGGCTCTTTAGGGTGCCCTTTAGGGGGCCGTAAGCATCCTACCCCATATTCAAGGAGAGAAAAAAAGAGAGATTAAAAAAATTTAAAGATATTTTGGTCACTAGAGGACATAAGGGAACAATTCCAGTTAAAAACAACCTATTTTTTCTTAAAAAACTGACCTGTCGATGACCAAAACCCCAAAGTAGCAACTGCTACAATGAAAGCCATGAGGACAACAGAAATGCACCCCAACCGTTACAGCCCCATCCCTCTCTCTTCAGCCCCCCCATTCAGTAGCATAGCCCTTGGGCTTGTGCCAACTCTGAGATAAGACCCTCCTCAGTCTGGCCGAGATCCATATATCCCTGAGCTGCATCCGTCCACTTAGCAGTACAGAAGCAGTTAAAGCAGAGCAACTACTGTGTCCCCTTAGCAGTACAAAAGCAATAGAAGCAGAGCCAGTACCTTTGGGATGACGTATTGTCGGAAGGGGGGGTCTTTGGCCACTGAGCGGGGGGCACTCAGTGGGACAAGAGAGATGAACCTCTGGATTTCGTGGATGATGGCATCTGTGTAAGGCATCTGCCCACGGTCAGCTATGCACGGCACCCTGGCTCGGCCGACCACGCGGTCAATCTCTTCATGCACTTTCTCTGGAAAGGGATGGGAAAGGGTCAGCACCAATTTCTTCACATGCCCTGGAAGCCCTGAAATCTGGCCAGGAGGGTTGACCTAGTGGCCGACTACCTTACAGGCTGAATGATGGATTGGGTGGCTTGGCCACCTCTATGTGACTTTCTTTTTCCTCTGAATAGTCTCCATTCTCCAGCTGTATTCCCTGATCCAAGAGGATGCACCCCGAGAAGCAGGGCATTATTTATTCATGGCCCAACAACGTATTTCACATAACAGGTGTTCTTCAGAAGAGTTGGGTGCCTACTTTTATTCAAGGGGAAAACAGATGCATGCTCTCTGCTTTTGAATCCTGGAAGCAGAGCAATCTTCAAGTATTATGGAAGATTATCTCTAGACATTTAGCTCCCGTGTAGAAAGCCCTTTGTCCAAAACACAACAGCTTCCCAGTTCCCACCTCTTTTTCTGGTGGTGGTTTTGGTGGATCCTCCCTGGTTTCGCTTCCGTTTTTACTGTGCTTCTTTACCCACTGGCACCCAAGCTAACTTCTATGATCACACAAAATCCTGTCATAGAATTTGGCCTTTAGTCATCCTGGCAGGAATTCCATGGGGCTGTGATGAGACATGGAGAACCTGAAAGTGGAAACCACAGAGGGGAGGGAATGGAGTTGAGATGCCAGCAGTTAGTTGAAGGGTCTGTTTTACCTTCTACCTCCGGGTATTTCTGGAGAATCAAAAGCCCGTATCTGAGGGTCGTGCTGGTTGTTTCTGTTCCGGCTCCAAACAAATCAAGTACGGATGTTACCAGGTTTTCAGGGGTGAACTCTGATGCACTGTTCTTTTTTTCCTAAAGAAACGTGAGGCTTAATCAGTGCTGCCAACTTAATTGAGCTTCATAAAAATATAATATATGAAACCATGTAAAAATAGGAGAATAGAAAACAATAGAAAAGGAAAAACCAGAGATCTGTTCAGGAAAATTGGAGATATTAGAGGAACATTTTCTGCAAAGATGAACATGATAAAGGACAAAAATGGGAGGGACCTAACAGAAGCAGAAGACATCAAGAAGAGGTGGCAAGAATACACAGAGGAATTATATCAGAACGAGTTGGATATTCCAGACAATCCAGACATTGTAGTTGCTGACCTTGAGCCAGACATCCTGGAGAGTGAAGTCAAGTGGGCCTTAGAAAGCATGGCTAACAAGGCCAGTGGAGGTAATGGCATTCGAGCGGAACTATTTCAAATATTAAAAGATGACGTTGTTAAGGTGCTACATTCAATATGCCAGCAAGTTTGGAAAGCTCAACAGTGGCCAGAGGACTGGAAAAGATCA